TACTTTGAAGCTCTCCGACTGAGGCTCAACGACTGAGGCTCTACGACTAAGGGTATACAACGGAACCTCTACTATAGAGGCTCTACGGATGAGCCTCCACATAGGAGGCTTCGCTGCGAGGTTATACAAGTGAGGCTCTCCTACCGAAGCTATACCACTGAAGCTCTATCACTGCGACGCTACTGCTGAAGCTCTACTACTGAGGCTCGAAGACTGAGGCTCCTACTACTGAAGCTCTAACAGAAAAGGCTGTACTACTGAGGCCCTACGACAGCGGCTCTAGAACTGAGGCTCTACGACTGAAGCTCGTATACTGAGGCTGTACTACGGAGGCTCTACTACTGAAGCTCTACGAATGAGGCTGCACGACTGGGATTATACTACGGAGGCTGTACTTCAGGAGCTTTACTATTGAGGCTTCATTACTGAGGCTCTACTACTGAGGTTTACTACTGAGTCTCTACAGCTGAGGCTCTACGAATGGGGCTGTACGACTGAAGCTCTACGACTGAGACGCTCTGCTACCGAAGCTATACTAGGGAAGTTATACGAGAGAGGCTCTTCGACTGGGGCTCTACGATCGTACCCCCCTTAGGGATGTTTCTTACCTGCAATGTCTATGTCGGGCAGCCCTACGGCTAGGGAAGCATAAAAGGATGGAAGGAAGGGGCAATCGGCAGGCGGGTTGCTGAAGCGTGCGTCCTGCATGAATCCCGAGGACATGTTGAGCGACAGCGCGATTCCCAAATGAACCATGACAAACATCCACAGCGAGAGCCTGATTCCTGAGTGTCAATGGCGTGGCCCTTGGATAAATTGCAAGGAAATCCCCCGCAAGAGCGCGACTCCTGCGTACATTGTGAGAAGGTCCCGCGCGAGAGAGCGAAGTGGGAAACAACTGCGAGGAAGTATTAAGAGGGAGCCGCTGCTGTTGTAAAGAGGGGTCCAGGGGCTAAGTGTGGTGACGCCTCACTCTTAAAAAAAGGGTGGGAGCCCCGGGAGCAGCCGTATAATGGAAACATACAAGTGTTACCGGGAAGGGGGGGCAACGATGATGTTCTTAGGAATGTGAATCCATCAACAACAACACCACAAACAACACCAACAACAACAACAACAACCATTTTAAGGCTGTACGCTCTTACTTGCACGCGAGTCATTCAACACGTATACCCTACACCCTCGATGCCCGCCCTCTTCGTCTTCGATCACACCCCTTTCGGTGGGATTATTTCTCTTTGCTGGGGCCGGCGGGCTTAGACGTACGGGCAAACCGGAACGGGCGGACAATCCTTCGGGGGCGTACATCTCTCTGCCCGCCATTGGAATTGGCGCGGGCCCTGCAAGAGGAGGAGGGGAAGAACGAGGGAGAGTGGGAGGAAGGGGAGGGGGAAGGACGAAGGAAGAGGGAAGATACCACGTTGTGAAGGCGTCCTTGGCGCGCGCGTGGTTCCTGAGCGCCGAAACGCAATTCCAGAATAATTTGTGAGGACGTCGCACGCGAGAGCGCAGTCCTGAGTACATTGTGAGGAAATCTCGGGCGGAAGCGGGGGCCCTGACTAAGTTGCGAGGAAGTCTCAAGCGGGAGCGCCGTTCCTGAGCAAATTGCACGGAAGTCTCAGGCGGGAGCGGGGGTCCTCACTAAATTGCGAGGAAGTCTCAGGCGGGAGCGCCGTTCCTGAGTCAATTGCGCGGAAATGTCAAGCAGGAGCGGGGGTCCTGAGTAAAATTCGAAGAAGTCTCAGGCGGGAGCGCCGTTCCCACGTAAATTGCACGGAAGTCTCAGGCGGGAGCGGGGGTCTTGATTACATTGCGAGGAAGTCTCAGACGGGAGCGCCTTTCCTGAGTAAATTGCGCGGAAGTCTCAGGCGGGAGCGGGGGTCCTGAGTAAAAATCGAGGAAGTCTCAGGCGGGAGCCGTTGTTGTTGTAGCCCGGGGGGCAGGGGCACAGTTTGAGCAGGAAGACCTTCCTTGAGAAAAAACAAGGTGCGAGCCCCGGGGGTGGCACTTCAATCGAAAAAAATCAATGTGCACCGGTGGGGGGGGATCAACAAAAATTATTCTTCAAGAGTGAGAGTTCAACAACAACAATGACAACAACAACGACGACGACGACGACGACGACTACGACAACGACAACAACACCAACAACATCAACAACAACAGCAACAACAACACTAACAACAACAACAACCACAACTTCACCAAAACCAGCAACAACAGCAACAGTAACCGCAGCAACTAAAACCATAAGCAGAATCCGCGCCGCGGAGTCAAACTTCAATCACGCAACCTGGGACAGTGAATGACCGTTCGGTACTCTCACTCTAACCATCACCCCGCAGGGGACACAAAGACGGGCCAAAAGTGCCAACAGAGAACCCCGAGATGGGCCAAGAGGGCCCCGAATCGCCGAGCGATCAGTCCAAGACGTCCAAGATAGCCTCCAGACGGCCCACGAGGCCTCCAAGACGCCCCCAAAGGCCTCCAAGAGCATCCCCAAGAGTGCGCCAGAAGGCACACTCTAATGATTTTGGCTGATGTTGGCGTTCTCGTCTTGTCCGCGTCCCCCCTAAGATCGCCCCGAGAGGTCTCCAAGAAGGCCCCAGAACGACGCAATAGGGCCCCAAGACGGCCCAAGAGGCTTCAAAACGCCCCAAAAGGCCCATAAGACGGGTCCAAGAAGGTGCCCAGAAGGGGGACCCGAACGAGACATTTCGAACCTTCGGCTCGTAGAGGCTCCCAGGAGGCCCAAGATACCCCCAAGAGGGCGGCCCCACGAGGCCCCCACGAAGCCCCCAAGAAGCCCCAAGCGGCCCCCAAGAGGCTCCTGAGAGACCCCCCAACGGCTTTAAAGAGGCCCCAAAACTGTCCCCAGAGGCTTTCGAGAGCGCTCCGAAGAGACCCCAAGAGGTCCCAAAACTATTCCCAGAGGTTCCCAGGAACGCTCCGAAGAGACCCCAAGAAGCATCCCTGAATACTCCAACCCACGTGTCAGCGTCGTCGCCACCGTCGCCGCGCCCGCCGTCGTCGTCGTCCCCCCTGAGGGTCGGCGGCACCGACCGTAGGGCCTTCGTGATAATGAGGGGCAACGATAAAGGGATAGACATGGGGGGGATGCATCGACCAGGAATCGGCGACCCATCGCCGATAGATCGACGATGAGCCCCCGATGGCGAATCCGCACCTTCCTGTGCAGGCTGGGGCTATCGGGCCCCTATCGGCGATCCATGGGCGGTTGGGGGTCGATGAATCCCCCCGTATGCGCAGGTCGTGCATGTCCCTCCTCCTACAGGGAGACTTTGGACGAAAAACTGAAGACCTGATCGGACGAGAACGGGAAGCGCCGCAGTAGTCTAATGCGCGTATTGGGCGAAGAAGAAAAAGAAGGCGAGGACAACGAGGAGTCGATGACGAGGACGACGTGGCGAACGTGAGGATAACGAGGAGGAGCATGAGGACAACGAGGAAGAGAAGCACAAGGACGAGAAAGAAGAGAACGAGGGCGAGTACGGGGAAGAATGCGGAGGGCGATGACGACGACGACGACAGAGTACAGTAAGAGGCAATTGGAAAAAGATGTTGCTCCTGGCGCCGCGCGGGGTTGTCCTTGGGCCTGTTGGGGGCTTCTTTGGGGCCCCTTGGGTCCTCTTACGGGCTTCTGGAGTCTTCTTGGGCTGTCTGGGCGCGTCGTGGGGTTCTGTGGGAGCCTTTGGGCGAAAAACTGAAAATCCGCCAACCCCTTGGGGTCACGGCGTGTGAGATGCTTCCCCCTCCCCAAACCCCTCCGGGTCCGGCTGGTTTGATGGGGGGGGGGGGCGGCGCAAAGGTGTCAGCCGCACCCTTGGAGCCTCAGGGGGCCCCAAAACATGCCAAGAGGGCCCCAAAGGCCCCCCGGACGGTCCAAGGGGGCTACGAGTCGCCGAAAGATCACTCCAAGAAGCCCAAGATCGCCTCCAGACGGTCCCAGAGGCCCCCAAGACGCCCCAAGAAGCCACCAAGAGGCGTCCCCAGAGGCCCTCCAGAAGCAAAAATCGTCCCAGTCCCGAGGGGAAACGTATATTTTAGCACATTCGCCTCTTGGGCTTTCACGAGGCCCACAACGGCCCAAGACGCCTTTAAGATCGAACCAAAATAGCCCAGGAGGCCCCCAAGAGGGCTCCAAGACGGCCCAAGAGGGCCCCGAGACGGCCCCAGAAGCTTCCAAAACGACCGAGGAGGGCCCCAGGACGGCCCCAAGAGGAGGCCCAGAGGGGGAACCCGAATGAACATTTCGAGCACTCGACCCCGAAGAAACCTGAGGAGGCACCAATCGGCCCCCAAGAGGCTTTCTCGAGGCCCCCGAAAAGCCCAAAAGAGCCTCCTAGAGGTCTCAAAACGGCTCCCAAAAGGCCTCAAAAGTGCTGCCAGGAGAGCCCAGAGAAGCCCAAGAGCAGAGCGGTGATCTGCCAACCGCCCCCGACGAAATCCCAAGAAGCTGAAACCCCAATATTCCCGAGAAATCGTTCCGCCAACTCCGTTTTCCACTCTTACTGCCGCCCCAAGGGGTCGGCGGCGCGGCGTTAGCCAATGAATAACAAAACAAAATTTCAAAAAGTCAAAACATCGCTGTAGAGGGACAGGCCCGATTTAACGCTGTGCCTATCCCCCCCTATCGCTGCCCCTGTGATCAGAAGAGGGGGCAACGAGATCTGGGGAGACACCACGGCCCTGACCATGACATCAAGACCCGCCCACGTCTTAGGCCCAGCATGCCCCACTAAAGGCGGATCTTGGAGGTAACCTTTTTTCTGTGTCTTACAAGCTGTTTAGAGAATGATAGAAAAGTCGCCCACAGGCTACTTTGTGACTATTTTACGATTAATTCTGTGATTTGGTTTGCACAAAAATTGCCAAACATGGCAGAACATCGTCCCCAGGCTGCTTCTTGCCTCTTCCTGTATACTCCTCCTCTCGCGGGACGTGCCCGACTGCACGCAAGGCGTCGCCCCCCCCGCTGGCCGCCCCCATGCGCACCGCCGCGTGCGACCCGCCGCGTGCGACCCGCCGGGCCACCATGCGATCCTCCGCCTCGCCACCGTGCATGGGAGGGCCGGCGCTCCGTGCGCCGCGGGCCACCACGAGCGCAGGGCCCGCGCGCCTCGCTCAGAAGCACACGGCCAAAGAGAGCGGAGGAGGACGAGCAAGGAACGTACTCCCGAGGGGGTGCTTATCGAGGGGGGGGGGGATTCATCTGCCGACTGGGCTTGCCCGATCCCGCCCCCCCTCCTCCTCCTCCACCTCCTCCTCCTCCTCCTCCTCCTCCTCCTCCTGCTCCTCCTCCTCCTCCTCCCCTCCTCCTCCTCCTCCTCCTCCTCTCCTCCTCCTCCTCCTCCCCTCCTCCTCCCCTCCCCCCCCCTCCCTATCCTCCCCCTCCCCCTGCCCCTGCTCCTCCCCGGGTTAGAATGTCAGCTAACCAATGACACCCCCTCCCAAGACTGATGAATAGACCCGCGGAGCGGGAAACTACCTTTCTTTGTCGTGGGCGCCAGGGCTCGTAGGGCTCGGGAAGGAAGAGGACGAGGCCGGACTCGTCATGTGCAGGGCGAGGACGGGGGAGGATAGGGAGGGGGAGGGGGAGGGGGAGGGGGAGGGGGAGGGGGAGGAGGAGGAGGAGGAGGAGGAGGAGGAGGAGGAGGAGGAGGAGGAGGAGGAGGAGGAGAGGAGGAGGAGGAGGGATGTGCGCGAGATGTCGTAGCGACCTTACGCGGCGGCAGCCGAGGGCCCTCACGCGCGACCTTGTCCGGAACGCTTACGCGCGCCAGTGTCGATGAAGAGGACCTGGGTTCCTCACGCGGCTCGCCTGCATTCAGTCAAAAACCCGAATAAGGACGCGCGGTAAGGACGCAAGACCCTTGGAAGCCGAAACTGGGATTTTTGGGGCGGCGGACGACGAAAACCTCAAGGACTCAAGAGCAAGGAAGAGCAAGGACGCAAGGGTACCCTGAGCAAAAGTCGCGCGTCCTTACTAGGGTTTTTGAATGTAAAGCTAGATGCTCGCGGAGATCTGCGCGGAGGTCTGGGATCGGCGCTGCACCTCCCTGGAGGCGCCAGGGAGGCCCAGCGTCGACCCATGACAGCGGAAGACGACGAGGAGGAGGAGGAGGAGGAGAAAGGAGGAGGAGGAGGAGGAGGAGGACGACGAGAGGAGGCCGAGGAGAAGGAGGACGAGGAAGAGGAGGAGGACGAGGACAGGGAGGACGAGGCGGAGGAGGACGAGGAGGGGAGGTGGAGGTGGAGGTGGAGGAGGACGAGGAGGAGGAGGAGGAGGTGGAGGAGGAGGAGGAGGAGGAGGGAGGGGGAAGAGGAGGACGAGGACGAGCAAAAAGAGAAGGAACAGGCTCAAGCGAGGCGGGCCGTGCCGCGCCCGCTCTCACGGAGTCGGCGAGGGCCTCGGCGGCGGCTCGGCGGGCAGCCTGCAGCGCCAAAAAAGGGCCCGCGCGGGGCGGTCAGATGGATGCTCGGCGCGAGACGAGCCTGCTCATGTTCCTGCTGCTGCTGCTCCTGCTGCTCCTGCTGCTCCTGCTGCTTCTGCTCCTCCTCCTTCTCCTCCTTCTCCTCCTCCTCCTCCATCTCGTGCACCTCCCTGATCATGCCTCCTGCTCGTGTTCCTGTTCCTGCTCCTGCTCCTCCATCCCGTCCCTACACACAAACTCCGCCCTGTCGCGTAGGGAGGGCCGGGCGTCTCGCCGCCTGAGACACCCTCGCCGTTTCTGACACTGCAGCGCCAAATGTGCAACAGCTTCGTGTCAAGATGTTGCTCTCGCTTCGGCGCCCCGCACATCCGTCTTCAGGGCCGTGCAACATGTGCACGCTTGCACGGCGGGTGGTTTTCAAAAGGTGGCTCTCGCCCCAGCGCCGCACGCAAGTGTCGTAAACATTCGCAGCCGTGTCACACGTGGAGGGCGGCTCCCTTTTCCAAAAGGTTGCTCTCGCCCTGGCGCCGCACACATTCGTCTGCAACATCTGCAGGTGTGTCAGAAACTGAGGGCGGCTACTTTTCAAACTGTACTTCTCGCTTTAGCGCCGCGCACATTCGTCTTAAACGTTTGCAGCATGTCCAAGTGATAGTTGAATCGAAGTCCCAAGGCTGGTGTCTGGCACGATCCAAGATGATCAGGACGCATGATCTAAATCCAATGAGCGGTTCCCTGGCACGACTTGGGATTGTCAAGACGCAACAATCACCTTGAGCCACAGCGTTAAAGTTCCAGGAACGGTGTGTTGGCACGATAGAAGATTATCAAACGATTCTTCTGATGGGCCCCTTCCCGTAATAAAAATTGATTATTTGCGAGACCAGTGCACGGGAACTTGGAGGGAAGGTTGGTTGCAGCATCGTTGATGCGACTCGGATACGCACTGATCCTCCTCCTCCTCCTACTCAGTTTCTTCCTTGCCTACTCTTCGGCAGCAGCGCCCAGCAGGCAAGTTTGAAGGGAGATCCGAAGCCGGCACTGAAGGTGGATCGGCCGACTGAGCTTTCGCCAAGCAGAGACGGGCGGAGGCAGTTGACTTCAACACCCACACCCCTCTTATCAGGGTGCTTCCCCGATGACACGTTCCTCCAACTCCTCCCGGTGATGGTCGGAGGCTTGCACACGCACCCAACCCTTTGAGACCTGGCCCCGAGCTATAACAGCAGCAGCTCCAGCAAACGAACACACATGAAGTGCCAGCACAGAAAAGACAAACGACATGATGGACAAACTTGTGAAGCACATCCGAGTCCAAAAGGGACCAGCCAGCATAACCAGAGGGGCTGGGACAGTCGTCTGCCAATGGACGTCCAGGGCAAACTCTGCATCTCCACGAGCCACTCATCCTTTTCCGCTGGTGCTTTGGGCGGAAGACAGCAGCAGCACCAGCAGGAGGCTCAGGATTCTCCTCCCATGCTCAAGCACCTCCCTGTTCATACCTCCTGTTACTCCTCATCCTGTTCCTGATCCTGCTCCTGCTACCTGCGCCTGTACCTGCTCCTGTTCCTTCTCCTGCTGTTGCTGTTGCTGCTGCTGTTCCTCCTCCGCCTTCTGATCATGCACCTCCCTACTCCAAATCGTGGTCCTGATCCTGTTCATGCTCCTACTCCTCCTCCTCGTCCTCCTCCTCCTGCTCCTCCTTCTCGTCATCTTACTTCTCCTCATCAACATCGAACTCCTCCACCTCATCATCATCCACTTACTGCTTCTCCTCCTCCTCCTCCTTCTCCTCCTCCTCCTCCTCCTCCTCCACCTCCTCCTCCTCTTCCTGTCTCCTGCTATTGCTCCCGCTAGTTCCTCTGCTCCTGCTCCTGCGCCGGTTCCTGATTTTTCTTCCTCTTACTCCTCCGTCTCGTCCTCGTCGTCGTCCTCCTCCTTCTCGAGCAAAATCCTTCTTCTGCCCTGCTTCCTGCCTCCTGCCCCCTGCTCCTCCTCGACTTCCTCCTCCTCCATTCCTTCTCCTTGTAGATAACTTCTCCCTGTCGCACCCGGAGTCCAGTTTTTAGGGCGGGCGGGGCGTTTCGCCTGAGACTTCCTCACCATTCGACTCTGAAGCTTAGAAAGTGGCAATAGTTTCAGATACGGAGGGCGGGTGGTTTTCAAAATGTGGCTCTTGCCTGAGCGCCGCGCACATTCGTTTTAAACATTGCAAGAGTTTTACGGATTGAGGGCGGGTGGTTTTCAAAACGTGGCTCTCGCCTCAGCGCCGCGCACACTTGTTATAAACATGTGCAAGGAGTTTCACGGATTGAGGGCGGGTGGTTTTCAAAATGTGGCTCTCGCCTTAGCGCCGCGCACACTTGTTATAAACATGTGCAAGGGAGTTTCACGGACCTTTCCAAAATGTGGCTCTCGCCTTAGCGCCGCGCACACTTGTTATAAACATGTGCAAGGGAGTTTCACGGATTGAGGGCGGTTCCTTTTCAAAATGTGGCTCTCGCCTTAGCGCCGCGCACACTTGATATAAACATGTGCAAAGGAGTTTCACGGATTGAGAGCGGTTCCTTTTTCGAAATGTGGCTCTCGCCTTAGCGCCGCGCACATTCGTTTAAAAAATTGCCAGAGCTTCATGGATTGAGGGCGCTTCGTTCTCAAAATGTGGCTCTCGCATAAGCGCCGCGCACTTTCGCGTCAACATTTGCAATAATTTCACGGATTCCCATGCTCAGCGTCAACGTACTGGAAATTGCGTGTGGAAAGATTCAAGATCATGGGGCGCAACGATTAAATTGATTCGCGGTACCCAAAAATCGGGTTCTGGCACGATTCTGGATCGTCAAGACGCAGCAGTCAGGTTGATACGTGGCGTTCTCACGCTTCAGGATCTTCAAACGGTTGTCTTCCAACGAGGCAGTTTCCTCAACGGAAATGAACCGTTGTAAGGGCCTATGAAGAGGAAGCTTGGAGGAAGGGTTAATTCCAACATCGTTGATGACTCTTGGGCTGATACTGGTCCTCCTCTTCCTCCTCTTCCTCTTCTTCCTCGCCCCCTCCTCCTTCTCCTCCGCATCATCCTCGTCCTCCTCCTCCCTGCTGCCCAGTCGCTCCTGCCCCCCCCATCGGATACCTCGAGTTCCCCCTCCAACCTTCGTCCCGCCCTTCCGTGGCACAGCTAGAAGAAGAAACAAACGCTATAAACACAAATGTGTTGGCGTTCCGCGCGGATTTCTTGGATCCGCACTGGACCCCTGCCTGGCGCGCGGAACGCGCCAGGGGCGGCGCTGGAGTCGGCGCCAGGGGACCCCAGCGCGGATCCAAGAAATCCGCGCGGAGCGCCAAAATTTTTCTCCTTCGAACAGTGGCCGCGAGAACAAAACACGCCCGCGGCCGCGAATCGGCCGCGGAGCATGCTGCCAGCTTCGACAGGTCCCCGTGCCCACGGAAGCGCTGGCCGGCGCCCGATCCCCTCCGTCGGACATTCGACGGGGCACTGGACGGGCACCGGACTGGCCACGGGGCGGTATCTCAAAACGCCGGCGCGGTGAAGGAATAGGAGGAGGAGGAGGAGGAGGAGGAGGAGGAGGGAGAGGAGGAGGAGGAGGAGAAGGAGGAGGAGGAGGAGAAGGAGGAGGAGGAGGAGGAGCAGGAGGAGGAGGAGGAGGAGGAGGGGAAGGAGGAGGAGGAGGAGAAGGAGGAGGAGGAGGAAGAAGAGGAGGAAAAGGAGGAGGATGAGGGGGAGGAGGAGGAAGAGGGGGAGGAGGAGTTGGAGGAGGAGGAGGAGGAGGGGGAGGAGTAGGAGGAGGAGGACGAGGAAGAGGCGGCGGCCCTCCTCAGTGGACCTTGGCGGAGCGTTCCTGGGGGCGCGGCTGGGCGGTCGGTCACGCTGGGGGTCGACGCGGGAGGTCTGGGCATCGTTTAACCGACCCCTATCCCCATGAACGTGACCTGGGCCCCAATGGGGATATAACCGTTTCGTTTCGGGTTTCGAGGTGCGTGTCCCCAACTGGGGTGCAAGGATGCTGGTGGTCCAGATAAGGATGGGGATGAGGGTGGGGATCGGTTAAACGCTACCGATCGTCGACCAGGAACGGAGGGGGCGCGGGAGCAGTCCGAGAAAGAAACGAGGGGTCCACGACTGGAACACCGACAAAAACACAGCAGCCCAATTGGGCCGTGTCGGGCGTCGCCGCTCAGAGGGGGATCACGCTCGCGTGGAACACTTGGTTGCCCTGGAGACCATCAAACGCCGCGGTCTTCATCCGACAAATTTCACACCCGAGCTGACAAAGGGAGGACAAGGAGGAGGTGGTGGAGGACAAGGAAAGGAGTATGTGGAGGAGAAAGGAGGAAGTCGATAAGAGGTGGAGGGGGAGGACGACGACAAGGAGAAAAGGAGGAAAAGGAGGGGGAGGAGGACAGGACAGAACAGGACATGACAGGGCACGGCAGGACAAGACAGGACATGGAGGACGACGAGGAAGAGAGGAGGATAGGGAGGAAGAGGAGAAGAAGCAGGAGGAGGAAGAGGAGGAGGAAGAGGACGAGGAGGAGGAGGAGGAGGAAGGGGAGGAGGAGGGGGAGGACGACGAGGGAGAGGAGGACGAGGAGGAGGAGGAGGAGGACGAAGAGGAAGAGCGACCAGAGAGACGTCCAGGCCTCGGCAGCACGCGCGCGCGGGGGCGGTGGGCGGGTCTTCGGGACGTGGGGACTGGTCAACAACCCTACCCCCGAGCCAGGACGGCGGCCGTCCTGGAGCGCCCCCCGTTTGCGCGACGCCTCGCAAGGAGGTTGCCTCGGGTCATATCTGGGGACGGGGGGGAGGAGCCCCGAAGAACCGAAACGCAAAGTGAAAACCATCCATGGCCAGGCATAGAACAAAAAAGCTGAAAATGGGGCAAAACGCAGGTGGATAGCCAAGGAGGAATACGGGTCAACTCCAACCTCTGGTGGTAGCAGACACATGAAGGATCTTCAGGATGGATCGCATACGTCCCACTGCAATAGTAGAGGGCAGAATATCCACCCCGATAGTAGACACCCCGACACGCGAGGCTTTTAGTATACGCGCCCAGAGGAGGGCAGGGCTGTTTCAGTAAACGCCCAGGGCCGTTAGTAAACGCCAACTGTCCGGTCCGAGTGGTTTTACCTCCCTTGAAATAGGGCAACATATATGATGAAAGGCATCGTCCCCGCCAGTGGCGTGCCGCGCAACAATGTGCCGGCAAGCACCGGATACCCAGCTTCATGTATAGAGACAGACCGGTAGTTAACGGGCAAAGATGTGCCACCCTTTCTGAAGACGGCGGCGACTGATGCTTCTCGAAATTATTGCGAGGCGAACTCCTCCCCCCAGCATGCGCTGCACAACGCAGTCAATGTGGCCAACGCCGCGTCGTCACCCCATGGTGCTCGCAATAGTTCCAGCAGCGCTCCATCTGACCCCGCGGTTCGCTGAATTCGCATATGCGTGACTGCCCATGTCACTCTTTCAGCGGCGATGGGACCAAGTTCTACAAGCAAAAGTTGTCCATCGACATGTCGGAGATATGAGATTCGTCAAGAGGCGTTCGCCACTGAACTCAGCCCGTTCAGAGGAATCTACAAGACGACCATCTGCGCCACAGTGGTCGTCCATATTTGAACATGGTTTTTGTCCGACAAAATTTGATGATGACCCGCCCGTTGGTCGCGACGCACTCTGTGAGCCATTGGTTTGTGTCCGCTTAGGCCGACAAACTTATCATTATGTCCACTTGCCTTTGTCGCGCTGAGTGGTGTCATCCCGGCGCGTCGCGCCCTGTCCCTCTCTTCGACGATCGGATATTCACGGTCGCAAGCGCAACGTTTGTTGCGAGGGGATGTAAGCCGCGGCAGCTTCCAACATGCACGCAGATAAAGCAGCGGCGTGGTCGAGCGCCTTCTGCGCCAGTTGCTTCTTCGACTCCTGCGCGAAATGCGCGGCGCCCGGGCGCTGCGTGCATCCGCTCTGCAGTGTCATCGTCTGGAACGTCAGCTTCTTCCTTCTGCGGCTCTTCCTTCGGGCGTTGGCGTTCAGGTCCACGACCTTGATTAAGTTGTGACACTGCATATGATGATCGCGATTGCTCCATATGCATCACATACGAGGACCCCATGCCTTGGCACCAACTACATGGCCCAGCTGATCGAAATTCCAAGGCGCCATAACGCTCCACGGCTGTATGCCGATACGGCAGATGGAAACAATTAGTGGATTCTGCCCGCTCCTACAAACTCAAAGCTGGCACGCGCGGGGGATACTGCGGTCGAAGTTCATCTCGTTCAACCCAATTCAACACTGATCCTTGCGGGGAACATTGACAGATGAATGAAATGCCGCATGAGTATTGGCGAATTTCTTCCGAGACCTGCAGCGTGCTCGAAATGTGCATTAGCAACACAAGCGTCAAAAATATGACATAATACCCATAAGAAATCCCAATTGGAAAGGGAACTCCACGGCGAGAAAGTACCACGGAAAACATGATATCCTATAACGTCGTCTACGCAAGTATTCAGCTCAAGAAGCTGGGCGTTAACATCACATAGTATACAAAATCGGCCATGGCACCGGCACATATCAACAAATACAGCCAAATCGGTGAAACAACCTCTTCGCAAATAATTCGTGCACATGGGTCCATGCGCTTGCGGAAATCAATGATCCAACACCTCCAGCAACACGTTAAGGAAGACCTGCCATTATTCTATCCTGTTGCCTGAAACCATTGACTGTTTGTTTCGCCCACGGGGCTGGACGATAGTTTACACAAAAACCTGCTACATCGAATGCCAGTGATCCTTTGCACTGCGTCTCTCGGAGACAGAGCATCTGCTTAATGAGCGCGCGCAGCTTACACGGCAAGTCCAATCTGATGCCTTCGGCACTCCACGTTGCAAACCTGCCGCGCTCGACCGGCATACGTGGGAATGTTGCTCATTTTCGCATCGGAGCTGCGGCGATGCTTCAAATGCACCGTCGCGCTTCCTATTCCGGCCGATTGCCCTCCTTCTTGCCTTAACCGTCTCATCTCGTTGCCCGGCCCATCATGTCATTCGCCCTCTCGGTGAGATGGCGTACTTATGGATTGTTGGTGAGATACCTCCAATTGGCCCATGGCCCCTCCCAAGATATCTGGAAAACACCGCGATTGAAACTGCCACCACCGGGTCCTCCGCAAGCGTGAGAGTGCACTCCGTCGTGTCCGCGCGTACTTCCCCCTTGCAGCTCTTGGGCCCGACGGTCTCGATGGGCAGGTCAGCTCGCGTCCATACAGGTTCGCTGGGCTGCTCGATTGGCGATTTACCGAAAGCGTTCACGAACCTGTCCCAGGCGCCCTTTGTGCCGAACTTGGTGAAGATAACTGCGTCGATATGCCGCCGTTCGCGAAATCATGGACCAGCCCAGGGAAATTGTGATGTTCAGTTTGTTGTTTGATGAATGAGGAACTGTACCGCCGAGCCTACATTCCCTAAGGCATCAAAACCACCAGTAACTGCCATGCACTCCTAGTTTTACGTTTCTCCCATCCTACTTAAGGACCGAATCCCAGAAATTATTTCGAGCACCCGGAAAAGTGTCAAACGAGTGTCGGAACAGTGTCGAAACAGTGTCGGGCGAGTGTCTCCCAGGTTCCGACACGTGAAGACCCTTTCGTTCTCGTACTTGTTTGGGCGCTCGGAATTCTTCCTGGTGGTCAAGGCGAAAGTAGGTTGGAGCATCATAATCCTAGCTGTTACCCTTCATGTTCGCGGGTTGCTTCTCCAACTCCAGCATCTTGTGCTCGATCTCCGAGGCGATACCCAGAACTGAACCTGAGGCGACCTGGTACCTGCTTGCTCGAAGGAATCGCTCCGCGCGGTAAGCATCTGCTCAGCGTGTTTGACCGGGTCCAAAGATGCTTAGGGTTTCTCTCGTGAGACACCATGAGCCTTGATAGCTGTGATGTTTTGCTGTAGAGGCTGCATGTGCTGGTTGAACTTGCCCTCGATTGCACTCATGGTGATGTCCTGCGTTGGCGACCCGTGTCCTCCATTTCCTTGTGCTTGGGCGAGTTGCTGATCCCCTGCTGTTGCGGACTGGTGATCTCCTGGTGGAGCTGGCCGAGTGTCGTCGCCGAGCCCATCTATCTCCTGGAGCGGGCTGTGTATCCTCTGGTGCTTCAGCAGCTGTCTAACTGGAGTAACTACCTGGGCGTCACTCGTCGACATCAGCAACCGAAGCCGTCAATAAAGTATTGGAAAGTAGCGTGGGGGCAAAGTGAAAGCGAAAGGTGGAGAGTGGAAGCGAAAGTGGTGTTGGGGTCTAAACTAACTCTGCGCTCTTGAGTGCATCCCTGTGCGCACTCGTGGCAAGCCACCCTGTGGCACCGTTGACCCAACTGGAGGGGACCCGAGAGCCCCTGGTGGGGGACCTGAGGGTTTTGCCGCGATCTGGCGGGCTCTGGATCCAGGGGGCCAAAGACACCTCCTGGATCCGTTCTGGGGCCTACTCTGGCCAGGGATCCCGAGCCGGCTCCAGCAACGGCGACGAGAAGCCCGCCAAAGGCAAGCAAAGACTCCGAGCCATGAACCTCGAGCCTTGAATGTTCGAGGCTTGGATCAGACAGCCGAACGCCCACCCCCATGAAAACCACCCCGGCAAGCGCAGCCGTTTCGTGAACGCGCCCAAGGAAGCAATCGAACAGGGCAGGGTCGCTTAAAAAACGCCCAGGGCCGCATATTTTTTCCCCCGCGAGCAACTTAACACAGATGCGTCGCTGGAGAATTGGGGCCACACTCTGTTGCATGGCATTGTACATGTCTTCGATGTCGGAGGAGCAGTTCTAAATTTATGCTCCTTCGTTGAAAGCCCCGGATCTGAAATCAGTCTGTACATGTCTCCGGTCGGCATTGTAAACGCCCAGGGCCGCTTATGGGGGGCAACGATAGGGGGGGGGGGATAGGCACAGGGGGGGATGCATCGACCTGGAAGCGGCGATGCGTCGCCGACAGAGCGGCGGGAGGCTCCCGATCGCGACTCCGCACCTGCCTGGGCGGGGCGGGGCCATATCGGGCCCCACTCGGCGATCCACGGGCGACTGGGGATCGATGCGTCCTCCCCCTGGTGAAGGGGCCCTGGGACGCACAAATAAATACACAGAAATAACATGATTCCCCATATTTTTCTATATTTTCGGGGTGTTTGTCTTCCCGCCCACTTCCCATATTTTCCAATATTTTCCTGGGACTCGACGATTCATTGTGTCTGTGTGTTTCTTCCCCTCCTGACCTGTGCCTATCCCCCCCCTGTTGTTGCCCCCGAGTTCCCCAAGACGCCCATGGCCGAAACCTCGGGCTTGCAGGCGTCGAGGCCCCCGTGCGCGGCGGCCACGCGCGCGGGCGCGCGTGCCCTTGCCGTTGATGAAAACGCCAATTGTCGAACCCCCGGGCCTACTGTTCGGTCGGGCATGTCCCCCTACAGGCGGATTTAGGACGATATATATATATATATATATATAGGTCCCTGAACCCACCATGAACCCTGCTTTCCTCGTGGAAGTTCAAAGAGGAAAACAGGGTCGGTGGGTCAACAAGAGGAAGATGAGAAAGAGTCAAAGAGGTAGAGACACTCGCAAGTCAAACTGTGAGAGAGTAGGAGATGTATGTCAGCTTGGGGAGGGAGCCTGTAGAGTATCGGGATGTGTGTTGAGGACGGGTGGAGTGGAGTAGACGGAAGGTGTGGAGTGGACGGGGGGTGTGGAGTAGAATGGGGTTTTCAAGTTCAGCTTGGGGAGGGAGCCTGTTGAGTATCGGGATGTGTGTTGGAGACGGGTGGAGTGGAGCAGACGGAAGGTGTGGAGTGGACGGAGGGTGTGGAGTAGCATGGGGTTTTCAAGTTCAGCTTGGGGAGGGAGCCTGTTGAGTATCGGGAGGTGTGTTGGAGACGGGTGGAGTGGAGTAGACGGAAGGTGTGGAGTGGACGGAGGGTGTGGAGTAGCATAGATTTTCAAGTTCAGCTTGGGGAGGGAGCCTGTTGAGTATCGGAAGGTGTGTTGGAGACGGGTGGAGTGGAGTAGACGGAAGGTGTGGAGTGGACGGAGGGTGTGGAGTAGAATGGGGTTTCAAGTTCTGCTTGGGGAGGGAGCCTGTTGAGTATCGGAAGGTGTGTTGGAGACGGGTGGAGTGGAGTTGACGGAAGGTGTGGAGTGGACAGAGGGTGTGGAGTAGCATGGGATTTTCAAGTTCCGCTTGGGGAGGGAGCCTGTTGAGTATCGGCAGGTGTGTTGGAGACGGGTGGAGTGGAGCAGACGGAAGGTGTGGAGTGGACGGAGGGTGTGGAGTAGAATGGGGTTTTCAAGCTCTGCTTGGGGAGGGAGCCTGTTGAGTATCGGGAGGTGGCGGCGGCGATGACCATGATGATGATGATCATGATAAGGATGATGAGTATCCCAGATGATGATAGTGATGATGATGATTATGAAGTGCACAAGATAATGATGAGGTGATGGTGATGACGAGTACACATGATGGTGATGATGGTGATGACGTGGGAACGGCTTGGGGGGGCTTCTGGGGAGGTCCCGCCGGGGCTCTCCGAAAATGCAGGGAAACTATAGTAATTCATATAGGTTTTGAGGTATGAAGGGTTCATGGTGGGTTCAGCGGGCTATATATATATATATATATACACACACAAGAAAACAAATCCTCAAACATGACCCCCAGATAATCGAAAAATCGTCCCCATGGTATTTGTTCGACTATGTTTGTTGAAAACCTCCTGTAGAGGGGGCGCCTTGTGGATGCCACGACAATGGACACTCTAACAGTCCTGTCATTGAATAAAACATGTGTTTTTTGAATGTCGGAAAAATGTTCTAAACATGGTTTACACATGATTCCTGTACATGTTTAGAACATGTTTCCCACATGTGTTAGACATCTGGGAACTATCTGGCAACATGCTTCCTCCCCATCGATCGTCCCATCGATCGCTCGGCCGTCCATTCCCTGTGTTTTTGTTCGGTTTCGTGCGTGTGGTGTTTCGCCAACTGGTCAAGGATGCTCCTCGATGGTCCTCGCCGAAGGCAAAATGCACACGTCCGAACGATGCCTAGCCGTGCGCGGCGGCCCCGCGCGCGGGCGCGAGCGCGCGTGGGGCCGCGGCGGTCCAGCAGGCGGGCGCCGCGCGCCTCGCAGCCCTGCCGCGACCACGCCGCGGCCACCGCCTCCGCGCGCACGCTCGCGCGCGGCACCGCGCCGAGCGCCCTTGCGGCCAGGGCGGGCGTTCGGCTATTGGGGGGGCGATGAATAAATGAGGGGCGTCGAGGGCTGCACGAGAAGGGGGCCCTCAAGGGGCCCAGAAACGAGCCCCCATGGGGCCCCGAAGGTGTACGAGAAGTGCACGAGAGGTGCACCTTTTCCGACCCCCCCATCTACTGTTAAGTCGGGCGTGTCCCCCTACAGGGGGATTTTCGACGAAAAATAAAAATACCCCCCAAAGGTCGAAAAATACACCAAAAATAGTCCCCTGACTATTTTTGGACTATGTTTTGATTATTTTTGGGGTATCCTTATTTTTCGTCGAAAATCCCCATGCCATTGGTGAACGCACGACCAAGGCGGAGGCAGGACACGGCCCACGAGTTCTGCTGCTCCCGCCGTGCCCCCCCCATCGCGCTCTGCTCTCCCCCCCTCGCGCTCGGCCCTCTCCCCCCTCCTCGCGTTCCTCCTCCCTCCTCGCGTGCCTCCCCCTCCTTCCTCCTCCCTCCCCCCTCCTCCCTCCTCCCCCCTCCTCCTTCCTCCCCCCTCATCCCTCCTCCCCCCCCTCGCGCTCCTCCCTCCTCCCCATCTGGCGCTCTGCTCTCTCCTGCGCCGTCGTGCCCCCAAGATCGCTCCCGGCGCACCCCACCGCTTGTTTGACCGGCGTCTGACTGTTTGGGACCACTTGGCTTAGGTCAGGCATGCCTTCCTACAGGCAGATGTTGGACGAAATCGGAAAAAAAACGAAATCGACTCAACAGAGATCAATAATAATAATAAATTCGTCCCCAGACTACTGTTTACTAGTTTTGAATGGTCCTCCTGTAGAGGGACCACGTCCCAGAAACAAAGTCGAGCACCAATAGAAGTATCCAAAAAGAGTGCCGACCGAGCATCGCCTCCCAGGGCCCGACGCGTGAAAACCATAAATCTTCCCTTACTTCCAAGCTGCTCGAAATTATTTCTGGTGGTCAAGGCTAAAGTAAGTCGGAACATCATAAGCCATGAGATCCAAGGCTCCGGAACACTCGGAGCGGCCTGTTGTGTTGCGTAGGAGCGTGGGAGACCGACTCCAACACCGCCAGGGACCACCAGCGGGAGAAGTCAGGGAGGGAGTCCCTGGTGGTGTGGTCCCCGCTCTGGCTCGAGACGTCCCCTCCCCATCGCGGGGAGGCATCGTGGACCTCCTGGCTGGAGGTGGCCCCAGGGTGGTGTTTTGCTGTCGCTTGTCCCTCCCCCCACAAGGGGGCCCCGCCTCCTCATCCACCTATTCCTCCTCCTCCCCCTCCTCCAGGACAGCCGAAAAACGGCTCAGGATGAAGAAACGGCCCCAGGGAAGCTGTCCAGATCTCAGGGGGCCCACGCGTCAAAACAAATGGAGAAGCGTGATGTCTGTGACGGGCAACTTCGAATGACGATATATCGGGAAATTATGAAATCCGGCGGGTCCAGAAGATGCAGCGGACGCCGCGGCCGTGTCGGTGCAGTCTGGAACGCTCTGAAAGCGCAACGCTCTGGAGCGATGTAGGGTTGGCGTCGCAAAGATAGCGTTCCACACCGCTCTCCTGAAGGGGCCCTGGGACACACAAATAAATACACACAAATAACAGGATTCCCGATACTTTCCATATTTTCTGGGTTTTTGTCTTCCCCCACACTTCCCATATTTTCCCACATTTTCTGGGGGACTCGACGATTCATTGTGTCTGTGTGTTTCTTTCCCTCCTGATCTCGGGGGAACAAAAAAACAAACAAAAAACGCTATCCCCCAAAATAGGGTTCCTCCATGCACGCGATTCCTATCGATCCCTGTGAGGCGATCCCCCTGGAAGGGACTTTTGCGCGCGCCGGTCCCCTGCCAGGGCCTCCTCGGCGCGCACCATCCCACTGAAGGGGCATAGCGTGCACAGCCCAAGTCCACAGTGAGGATGCACGGCAGACATGCCAGGCCCTTGGAAATCCAGATTACCATTTAAAAGCTCCTTAGACGTCCAGAACCGTTCTTGAAGGATGAAAAAACGACCCTACCCTGGGTTACAAGTGTGTGGTCTGTAAACCTCCTGGGAACCCCCAAAGCCTAGAGCCGCCAGGACGCGGCACATCACGCAGGGTTTACCCTGTCAGCCCACAGGAGTTTCAGCGCACAGCGCCTCGTAAACCAGGGTAGGGGCTTTTTTTTCTGCCCTTGAAGATTACCATTTAACAGCTCCTTGGACGCCCAGAACCGTTCAGGAGGGTGTATTCGGTAGCCTTCATGAGGCAGCGCATCCTCGCTACTACAAGGTGTTGGATGCAATCCGCGGGCCGCCGGCGCCACACCGCACGCCATCTTCGCGACGCCAGCCGAATCCCTGCCCTAATTGTAAGTCGGGCCTGTCCCCCTACTGGAGGATGTTCGACGATTTTTTTGTAATGCACCAAACAAAATCAAAGAATAATCCAAAAATAGTCTGGGGACTATGTTTGGAGTATTGTTTTGCCTTTTTGGGATATTTTGGGGGTCTTTTTTATTTTTCGTCGAAAATCCCTCTGTAGGGGGACACGCCCGACAGAGTCCTAGTTAGCCCCGCCCGATCCCCAGAGCCCCGACGTCATACTTTGCTCATGACGTGACCCCCAGGAGGTCTCGGCCCCTCAATTCGGCGGTGGACAAGCCTCCCTTTCGTAAACCTCCCCTTAATGAAAACGGCCTGGGACCGAAACCGACGGACCTGGACCCGCAAAAATGACGGCCGGGACGACCTCTCGCGAACCGAAAACGGCCAATTCCTCAATCGACGTGTCAGGGTAGAAGGTCTGTCCACCCCCGAGACGTCATACTTTGCTCATGACGTGACCCCCAGAGGTCTCGACCCCTCCATCGTTTTCTGACGGCCCCGCGGCCCAGTGAGGGGCCCCAGGGGCCGAACACGGTGAAGACGAGAGCTGTCCGTCGCAACTTGCTCACAGCGCCAAGGGGATCTGGGGCGCCGTCGCGGTCGTCGCCGTCGAGAGCATTTTTGTTTGTTCGCGGCGATGGCGGGCGTTATGGGTGGGGGTAGGGGGGGGGGGAAAGCGGGGGACGGGGGGGGGCGCAACGTACCACCCCCCCCCGCCGTGCGGGGTCCGGCACCAAAGACGCTGGTGCGTCACATCATGGGGGGGACGAGGACCCCAAGAGGGGCCAAGAGGGCCTCCAAGACGGCTGAAGATCGGCCCGAGACGCCCAAGATGGCCTCAAGATGGCCCAAGAGGCAGCCTCCAAGAGGCCTCCCAAGAGGGCCCCAAGCTGCAAACATTGTTCGTTCTCCTTTGGTTATTGGAGGGTGGAAGGGCGGGAGCAGCACGCGTGGCATGGCCAAGAGCCAAGCAGGGCAAGCAAACCCTCTCCTTGCAGTCGCTCAGACGGCCATTTCCCGTGCATGGTTCGGTTTCGTGCGTTTTTTTTTGCTCGATGGTCCAGGATGGTCCTCGATGGTTCTCGCCGAGACATGCACACGTCAGAGCGATGCCAAATCTCCTGCCCCCGCCGAGTCGTTGAGCAGGGGCCGACTCTCCCGGCATGCCTGCAGGCCTACCAGGACATGGTCTCAGAGCAAGGGCCCTGCTCCAGTAGCACAGGCAATGCTCCTGGAACATAGAGCCGATGTGCTGGATCAAGACGGTCTCGGCCAGGAGCGTTCTAAGAACGTTCCGCAGAGACCACAAAAGAGTCTTAGAACATGCCCTGGCGTGCCTCACGCAGGCCAGGACCCGGATTCGGCGTTGCGACGATTGGGCGGAGGGAGAGGGGAGGGGGGGGTTCTGGCTCCAGACCTCTGCTGAGTGCGACTGTTTGCAGCAGTGCATCCCGTGGGGGGAGGCCCCACCTGCTCGAAACAGGCGCCCCCAAACAGCCAAGATCTACTCCATGGGGGGGGGGAAGGGGGGATGCGACGGCCGCGCCGATCGGCTAAACAATCAATACCCATCGGTCGGAAGAAGTAGGGAGAAACATGAAGTAGGGATGAAACATGAAGTAGATTGGGTGTCCGCCCGCCCCTCTGGGAGGCCGGAAGCGGCGAAGCCACTCGATCATTGGAGTAGGAGGGCGCCTACATGGAGTGGAATATGGGAATCAAAAAATACCTCCTCCTCCTCCTCCTCCTCCTCCAGTTATTCCAGTTCCTCCTCCTCCTCCTCCTCCTCCTCCTCCTGCTCCTCCTCCTCCTCCACCTCCTCCTCCTCCTCCTCCTAATCTTTCTCCTCCTCCTCCTCCTCCTCCTCCTTTCAACGACCGCTGGGTAAGAAAACGATCACCACCCCGCTGCTGCTGCACGGTCGCCGTCGCTGTCGCCGTCGCTGCCGGCGCCCCCGTCGCCGCGCGCGGCCCGCCGCCCCACGTGGCCGCGCGCGCAACGCCCCAGACGGGCAGGAGAGCGCGGGCCTGGCAGGGGGCCGCGGCGTCGAGGCCGGCCTCCTCCATGCGGAGGAGCCACTTCTCGGCCTGGGGGGGGGGGTAAGCGAGGGAGGTGGAGGGAGAGGGGGGGGGGAGGGAGGAGGAGGAGGAGAAGAGGGAGGAGGAGGAGGAGGAGGAGAAAGAGGAGGAGGAGGAAGAGGAGGAGGAGGAGGAGGACGAGCAGCAGGAGGAAGGAATCATCTATGCCTATACCCCTCTCGCCTTGGCACAGGCTTGCAAGAAGTCGACTGGTCGCTCCGCCGAAAAAAACCCAACTGCGGGAACACAATGCCGTCACCGCGCCCATCATCACCGCCCCCAGGGAATGCACTGGCGCTACTGCTGGATGCAGTGGCGCCCCCAGGGAATCACAATTGTGATCGATGTCGAAAACGTGCCAAGATAAAGAAGGTACGGGCAATGTTGGGTATAGGCGTTTTGCGAAACATGCGTACACATACATATACCTATACCTATATCTACAGGGCAGTTGGTTTATACATAGGATGATTAAACATATCGGATGTTTAATACATGATTAATTCGTGAATAAATGTATGCACAAACTCATCGTTGTTGTTAATACTAGATCCCTGCATTTGTAGTACATGATCCGCACGCGGATATTTAAAACAAACGGCACTGTATGCCTGTACCGATTCCGATACCTATAGCTATACCGATACCTGATTTCTCTTGGTTTCCACAACAGACTGGGACACCTGTTGCAACCGCCCACGTCCAAGAGAGGATACGACAATCAACTCAAAAACCTTGCAGCGCGCACGCTTTCACAGCGCCGTCGTCCGCGCGATACGCGAGTTCCTCTGACGCAGACTTCAAGGTAAAACGGGTATACCAGTAGATGTAAGGCACGTGGGAGGAGGAGGAGGAGGAGGAGGAGGAGGAGGACAATGAGCACGAGGAGGAGGAGGAGGAGGAGGAGGAGGAGGAGGAGGAGGAGGGGCAGGAGGAAGGAGGAGAAAAGAGGAAGAGGGAAAGGGAGAGGGAGGAGGGGGGGAGGGAGCAGGCGGGGGGGAGGAGGAGGAGGAGGTAAAGCAGAAGGAGGGAGGGGGAGGGCACAGGAGGGAAGGCCGAGGAGGACGACGAGCGGGCCCCACGCGGCCCTGCGAGGAGCACGGGGCTCACCGCCGCGCTGCGCGGGCGCCCCCCGCGGTGAGGCACGCGGGCAGAGCGCGCAGCGCCCCGCTGCCCTGCCCCGGCCCCTGCCCCGTGCGGCCGAGCAGCCGCGGCGCAGGCGAGGCGAGCCAGGTCGATCTCGGGCGCGAAGGAGGGGAGAAGAAAGGAGGGCAAGGGAGGAGGGAAGAGAGGAGAGGAAGAAGGGTTCCTCCTCCTCCTCCGCCTCCTCCTCCTCCTCCTCCTCCTCCTCAATCTCCTCCCGTTCCCTCTCGTCCGCCTCCTTCTCATCCTCCTCCCCTCGTCCGCATCCGCTCCGTGACTCGCAGGAGGCCACGGTGCCCACGATGCGGCCTCCTCCTCCTCCTCCTCCTCCTCCTCCTCCTCCTCCTCCTCATTATCCTCCTCTTCCTCCTCCTCACCCTCCTCCTCCTCGTCATTTGCACGCCGCTCCCTTCCCAGTCCTCCTCCGATTCCTAACTTCACTATTCCCTTCATCCCCCCCCTGCACGCGCATCACTTTCCCCTCCTCCTCCACCTCCTTTTCCTGACGAACTCACGAACTGAAGGCATGAGGCTCTGTGGGAAGCTGCCCTCTTCCGTCCCCTTCTCCTCCTTACGCTCTCCCTCCTGCCCCTCCTCCTCCTCCCTGATTCATGGTTGCTTACAACTGCGACGTCGTTTAGACGTAGCCTACCCCCAAGGCCGGCCCTGGGGGGAGCGACCTCCGACCTTTCTGGTGGAGGCTCCGGGCCCGGCGAAGCGGGGGCCGACGAAGACAGGGAGGCGAGGGGCCAAGGGGGGGAGGACGAAAACGGGCCCGAGCCGAGGGACGAAGGAGGAGAGCGGGAGAAGGAAAAGAGAGGCCCCCACCCAGAGCACAGGAAGGCCGACGAAGCCCGCCAGAAGGAGGGGGAAGGGGGAAGAGGGGGGCCGAGGACGGCGGGGGGTAAGGGGAAAAAAGGGGGGGGGGGGGGGGGGGGGGGGGGGGGGGGGGGGGCAAAGCGGGCCTCCCTGGGCAGGAGGGGGGTCCACTCCGCGCATGGGGGCGCGCTCTGTGCCGCGGGGGTGGCCTCCTCCTCCTCCCCCTGGTCTCGGCCCGCGCCCCGCGATCCCTCCCGCCGCTGCCCCCAGGGGCGCTGCTGCCGCGGGCCGCCAGCAGCGCGGGCCCTGCTCGCGCCGGGCGCCCCCCCCCCCCGAGGGCCGCCTGACCCTTCCCCCTGCGAGGTGGCGGCGCGCGCCGAGGATGGGGAAGTCGTTTTTCTGGGCGTTGTCGTTGGCGTTGGCGTCGGCGTCGTCGTCGGCGTGAGCGTCTGCGCTGTCGGCGCAGCTGCAGGTGCTGCAAACGGCGCGGGCGCCATTTGCGTGAATCTCGTAGGCTTTGGTTGCGCGGACCATTGTCTTCTGCGCCTTGTTCGCCGCTTCCCCTTGGAGTGACGGACCGTTGCTGGTCTGCCCTCGACCTGCAGGGCATAGATGGGCCCGAACACCGAGAAGGTGGCCTGAACCAGAGCGAGCGCAGGAGGTGCAGATCGCGCGCTTGGCCTGGGCGCTGCCCGCGTAAGAGTCGAGTTTGGCGCCGGCGCTGGCACTGAACCCCTGGAAATACCTGCGGGGGCTGGTCTTCTCGCAATCGGCCTCCTGGTCCTGGGGGTCGCAATGGCGGCCGTCGGCGTCGGGCTCGGGGGCGGCGTCGCTGTACGGCGAAACGGACCACGCTCCCGGAGAAGTCGGCGGTCACAGGTGGACGCCGTGGTTCAGTGCGACGAGGCAAAGCCTGGCCGCGGCGACGCAGAGAAGGAATGCCGAGAGGATCCCGAGGGGGGATGCGCATCCTATCGACATAGATTGGCCCCCCGCCTCGGTCAACCCTGGGGTGGAGCGCCCGAGGGGACAAAAAGGCAGGCGGGCCCCTTGGAGGCAGCAGCGAGCGTGGCGTCCGTCGCTCCTGCAAACTGCCGGAGCCCTCCTCTTCCTGCTGGCAGGGGGGGCGACCGCGGCGGCGAGGCAGGGCGTCGGACCCGCGTTCTCGCGTACCTCCAGCCATCCCGAGGTCGTCGATCTACTTGGTCTCGTCGAAGTCGCAGTCGGCGCTCGCGACGACGCTGGAAGCGAGGAACAGCGGCTCGGCGTTGAGGGCGTCGGCGCGGTTGGCGTCGTCACTGGCGGTTCCGTGGAAGCCGATGGTCTCGCGCGGCGCCGCCCAAGTCGGGCGGGGAGAGGGAGATGACGCACCCCTTGATTACGATGCCTCAAGCCTCTTTCGGGCGGCAGGCTGGCGCATGAGGCCGACGTCCGTCGCAATCTCGTTGTAGTTGTAGTGCTTGTAGCAGGGGCTCAAGGACGGCATCTTGGAATGCTGCTCGCCATAATATTTTTTTACAGCCGCAGGCGGAAGCGCCAGCGGCAGGCGGTCACGGTCGGGCTGCGGCCGCGACAAGGGGGCGGGCGCGCGCGGGGCCGCGGTCAGGCGGCAAGCAGCAGCGACCCAGGGCGTCGGAGCCATGCGCGTGCAGATCCAGGGAGTCTGCAGGGCAGCCCCTGAAAGGAACGCCATAGTAATTGTACGCGAAGGCGCGAAGGAATATCTCAGGGATATCGGTGCTGGCAGTCGAAAATGCAAGCGGTAGAAGATATTCGGCGCTGATTGTGCCCGTGGCGTTTGGGATCTTCGCCCCGTGCTGATGATCACTGGCAATTGGGGCGCCATCGATGACGACGTAGTTCGACTTCGCGTTGTGGTCGTGATTGGCGTTGGCGCCGTACTGGCTGTTGCGGCAGCAGCTGGCCTGAGCGGCGGCTGCTGCCCTGGCTACATCGAGCGCCAGGATGCCAGTGCATTCCCTGGCTGCAAATCCCATCCAAGCAAACCTCACGCGGAGGCGTTTGGGCAAGCTGCCGGAGACCTTCTCGTGGAGGTCAGTTTCGGAGCTTATCTTCTGGTGCCCGGACATGGCTGCAGTCCCGCGTCGTACCTCCTCTGTGGGGGGTGGCGCGCCTACTTAGCCTGTCGCCCGCGGCGTGACCCCCGCCACTGCGTCGCGGGCCCGGCGTGGGGGAGCCACGCCCCCGAGTCGGGCAACGGCTTCCTGCTCCCCCTCCTCCTCCCCCTCGTCCTCCTCGTCCGCCTCCCTCTCCTCCTTCTCCTCCTCCTACTCCTCCTCCTCCTACTCCTCCTCCTCCTCCTCCTCCTCCTCCACCCCTCCCTCCTTCCCTTCCTCCCTCCCTCCCTGCCTCCCTCCCTCCCTCCCTCCCTTCCTCCTCCCTCCCTGCCTTCCTCCCTCCCTTCCTCCCTCCTCCCTCCTTCCCTCCCTCCCTCCCTCCCTCCCTCCTCCATCCTCCCTCACCCCTCCTCCCCCCTGCCTCTGTCCTCCCTCCTCCCTCCTCCCTCTTCCATCCTCCCTCCTTCCCCCCTTTTCCCTCCTCCCTTCTCCCTCCTCCCTCATCCCATCCTTCTTCCTCTCTCCTGCCTCCTCCTTCCTCCCTCCTTCCTCATCCCTCCTCCCTCCTCCCTCCCCAGGACCTTCCTGGCAGGACCGGCTCGGGCCCCGTGGAGGGCCCCGAAAGCCCGAGAACGGGACAAAAAACCTCAGGACCCGCTTGCCTCAGGAGCCGCTTCCCCCACACCTGACACGGGGCACCTGCCTGTGCCGCGGACGCCGAAAAATCCCCCCCCCCCGAGGAGGAACGCACGGAGCCGGGCACAGGGTCCGCGCGGAGCGGCCGCCCGCCTTGTCGAGCTCGCCAGCGCGAGAGCACCTGCGGGCGGGCACGCGCACCATCCCTCGACCCCATCCACTCCTCGTTCTTCGTCATTCCTCCTCCTCGTCTTCCATCCTCCATATTCCTCGTCCTCTCCACCACCGCCAGCACCAGATCACCACCATCATCACCACCAGCATCATCATCATCATCATCATCATCATCATCATCATCATCAGCATCATCATCATCATCATCAACAGCAGCAGCATCATCATCACCATCACCATCACCATCACCATCACCATCAGCATCAGCATCAGCATCAGCATCAGCATCATCATCATCATCATCATCACCATCACAATGACCATCACCATGACCATCATCATCATCATCATCATCATCATCATCATCATCATCATCCTGGTCATCATCATCATCATCGTCATCATCATCATCATCATCATCATCATCATCATCATAATCGTCATCGTCATCGTCATCGTCGTCGTCAGCAGCAGCATCGTCATCATCAGCAGCAGCATCCTTAGCGTCGGCGTCATCATCATCATGATCAGCAGCATCATCCTCACCAACATCATCAGCATCATCAGCATCATCGTCAGAAGTATCAGCATCATCCCCATCATCATCAGCACCAGCAGCAGCATCAGCATCATCATCAGCATCTCAATCAGCATCAGCATCACCATCATCATCATCATCATCAGCAGCATCATCAACATCATCATCATCAGCATCATCATCATCATCATCATCATTGTCATCATCATCATCATCAACATCATCATCGCAATCAGTATCATCATCAGCAGCATCAGTAGCATCATCAGCATCAGCATATCATCACCAGCATCAGCATTAACACCAGCTTAAGCATCAGCACCATCAGCAGCAACAACAACATCATCATCAGCAGCAGCAACATAATCATCCTCCTCATCAGCATCATCATCAGCAGCATCATCAGCATCATCATCAGCAGCATCATCGTCATCATCATCAACAACACCATCATCATCATCATCATCATCAGCATCATCATCATCGTCAGCATCATTATCGCCAGTATGATCGTCATCGCCATCGTGTCATCGCCATATCGTCATTGCGATCTAGTCATCGGCATCCCCATCGTCATCGTCAGCATCAGCGTCATCCACATCATCATCGACAGCATCATCATCAGCAGCATCATCAGCATCGTCATCACAGTCGTCGTCGACGTCGTCATCATCATCCATCCACCCACCCATCCATCCATCCATCCAACCATCCAGCCAGCCACTCATCGATCCATCCATTCATCCGTGCATCCTCGTCCTCCTGTTCCTCCTCCTCCTCCTCCTCCTCCTCCCCCTCCTCCTCCTCTTCCCATTCGTCATCCTCCTCCTCGTCCTCATCCTGTTTCTCCTTCTCCCTCCTTCTCCCCATCATCCCCGCACTCCTCCCGTCGCAGTCCTCGTCGTCAACGCCGTCGCCGCCGCCGCCGTCGATCTCATTGCGACCGTCGCCCCGAGCGCTAAGGAGCCAAGCAAACGAACTACGGGGCACCAGCATGAGAAAGCTTCTATCGGGGATGGACAGACCTCCCTTTAGTAAAACGTGGTTTAACCCGGAGAAGCAATTAAGGAAACCCCCGGCGTTATCATTGGCACCGCGCCGTAATTAAAAAATTATTTGGGCGGGTTTTCGCCGAGCGATATTATTAGCACCGCGCAAATGGAAGGAAAATAAATAATTCCAGCGCCCCGCCTCAGGTGGCATCCCAATTAGAATTGTAATGAGAATAAGAATACGAATACGAATAAGGAAAAGCTGAGAAAAGCTATGAAACTTGTGGGACCTGCGAGACCTGCGGGACTCCGTGGGACCCGTGCGATCTGGTGTACCCCCTCCTGGTGCCAGGATAACACTTCCGGGTGCCGGGTGCGTTATCCTTTCACCGGAGAGGGGGGTGAGGGGGTTCCTTAATCGCTTACTCGGGTTCATGAAAACGACCGGAGGCCCAAACCTGACGGGCGCGAGCCTGGAAAATAACGGCCGCGGCGCCCTCTCGAGAACCGAAAACGGACAATTCACTAATCCACGTGTCACTGTTGGGGGGTCTGTCCGCCCCCGATTTTAGCACAACATCCCACAAATGGAGCACGCTCCTCCGGCCCCGAGAGACTTCGGACTCCGACTGTGGCGGCAAAGCCTTCGAGGAGGCACTGCTGATTCAAAGGCGCTCGAACGGAGCGTAGGCAAGTAGAGGAACTATTCGAACCACGCTCAAGAAAAAGCTGCGCGAACGGTGTGGGGGCGAGAGGAGACGAGAGAAGAGGGAAGCGCCCCGCAGAAGCACATCAGGCCGCGCATGTGAAACACGCGCGCAGCTGCCCCAGTATCAGCGTGTGCCCGTCCTCTGTGCGAGCTGGCTTCCAAGAGATTTGGGCCCCACCCCTTGCACCCCCGCGCGGACAAAGGAGCCAGAGGAGGAGCGGCGGCAGCAGAGACAGCGTGGCAGAGGCAGCACCACAGCGAGCACGGACACGGGGTACGGTGGCCAGGTCCAGCGGAAGATCGGGGGCGCGCCAACATGGATTAGCGATTCATGGATTTGACGCGCTGCCGCCAAATACATGGATCGGGGGGGAGCCTCCTCAAAATGCGGCTGGTGCTGACTCGCTCGGCGGCGGGCATCCGCGATTTCCCATGGAAACGGGACCCGTCGCTAATCCACGCCTCCTTGATCTATGGCTGCGGTCACCTGAAATAAGAAGCAGACGCGAACACCAGGCAGGCTCCAGGAGGAGGAGGTGGAGAAGGAGGAGGAGGAGCAGGAAGAGAAAGGGGATGAGGAGGAGGAGGAGGAGGAGGAAGAGAACGAGGAGGAGGAGAAGGAGGAGGAGGAGGGGGAGGAGGAGGAGGAGGGGGAGGAGAGGAGGAGGAGGAGGAGGAGGAGGAGGGGGAGGGGGGAGGAAAAGGAGGAGGAGGAGGAGGAGGAGGAGGAGGAGAAGGAGGGAGCCCCCCCGGGAAGAGAAGCTCCAGGGGGAGGGGCAGCAGCAGACACAGCGGCGAAGCAGCGAGGGGTGGGGCAGCAGCGCAGCAGGGCAGCGCAGGGCAAAGGGCAGCAGAGGGCAGCAGCAGCAGCACAGCCGCGGGGGAGGGCAGGCGAGGCGGCCGAATCGAACTGGGGAACGCGAGCACCAGGCGGGCTCTCCCTTCAGTCCCCCCAAGGGAGGAGAACTGGAGGAGGAGGAGGAGGAGGAGGAGGAGGATAAGGAGGAGGAGGAGGAGGAGGAAGCGGATGAGGAGGGAGGAGGAGCGGATGAGGAGGAGGAGGAGGAGGAGGAGGAGGAGGAGAAGCGACAGCAGAATCTGCAGCAGAAGTAGCGCCGTGGTGCACGGAGAAGGGAGGGAAAGGTGGCCGGGTACTGGCTGTGGTCGACCGTGCCATCTCGTTCTCCCCACATATTCCCATACCCCGTGCCTCCTCCAAGTGCCTCATCCAGCCTCGTCATCATCCTCTTCCTCCTCCTCCTCCTCCTCCTCCTCTCTCCTCCTCCTCCTCCTCCTCCTCCTCCTCCTCCTCCCCCCTGCAACCTCGACCCCCCTTTTTCCTCCTCCTCCTCCTGCAACCTTCGACCCCCCATTTCCTCCTCCTTCGACCGCCCCTTTTCCTCCTCCTCCTCCTGCTCCTCCTCCTCCTCCTCACCCTCCTCGCCCTCTGCCCCCACCTCCCCCTCCACATCCCCAAACAGACATCCCCACCGAGGAACCCTCACTCGCCCCAACCCGCCCCTCTTCCTCCCTCCAATCTTCCTCCTACATCTACTGTTTCCTCCTCCTTCTTCTCGTTCCCACCCCGATCCTCCTCGTTCCCCTCCTCCTCCTCCTCCCCTCCTCCTCCCCCTCCTCATCCTCTTCCTCCCCTCATATCCCTGCCCCCCCTCCTCCGCAGATGGGCCCCTTCCCCGCGCCACGGGCGCGCGGGCGCTCGCCGATTGATCAGGGTCGTGAAGGAGCCCGGGCACGGGGTCAGGCCGGCGCTCAGCGCCTCCCCGGGGCAGGGGGGTTGGCGGTCGGGCCAGCCCCGGCCGAGTGCCGAGCTTGTCCCCTCCGTAGATCGAAGGCTGGATCGGATCGGGGCATACATCGGGAGCTTCTGAGATCCAGCTGTTCCAGGAGATGGATCGGGCGCCTCGGCACTCTCAGAGCTCTCCGGGACGCTCTGCGGAACACTGGAGCGACGTGTCCCAATCAGGATTCGGTCACTCCAGACGCCTGGGGTCCCCCAGGCATCTGGCCGCTCCACTGTCTTCTACGCGTGGGCCCCGGGAAGGTCTTGGCCACTTCCCCAGGGACGGCTTTCGTCCCGAGTCGTGTCTTGACGGTCCCGGGGCCCGGCGAGGGCCCCCGAAGGCCGGACGGCCAATACCTGGCCGCTCATTTTTTTTCTGAGCCTTGGATCACTGGGTCTCGGGCGACTTGTCCCAAGCCTGTGCCCGATTTGCTCCCGGCGGCCGAGGGCTGTCCCACCTCGGAGCTCTCTCGCCACGGCCGCCGCCCCGGCAGTCTCCAAGAAGTGCCCCAGGACCTGCCCTCCTGCCAGCCCGTGGACTCCTGCTTGCACACCGCTGCGACCAGGGCCGGACAGAAAAGACTGCCCCACCTCCCCTCCCCAGCCGCCTCCCCCTGCCCACCCTCTTCAACGCCCCCGTCCCCCCGCCTCCCTCTGCCCACCCTCTTCAACGCACCCCTTCCACTGCGCACCCGCCCACCGCCGTCCTCTTCCGCCCTCCCCCCTCGTCCTCGCCTCGTCGTCTCCCTCCCTCCCTTTGCTGATTTCGCACCCCCCGAGGCCAGCGAAGGGCCCATGGAGGCCGAAGGTGCGGATAACTCCCATCTGGTCGGCGCAAAGGGGTCAACCATCTGCAAGTGGACTTGCTTACTTACACACACAAACACAGACACAGACACAGACACAGACACAGACACAGACACAGACACAGACACACACACACACACACACACACACACAACACACACAGACACAGACACAGACGTAGACACAGACGTAGACACAGACGTAGACACAGACACAGACACTGACACAGACACAGGCACACATACACAACACAACACACACACTCAAACAAAGCACGTCCACATGCTGGGCAAGACTGCGATCGCATATGCTTCTATACTTGCACGTCAACTTATGTGTACACCTGTACATCTATTATGACATGTACACGTAAACACTCGGGCCGCTGAAAGAAGGAACGCTAAATCAGGAACGAAGCCCCTTCTTGGCCCTGTAAGCGCCTCCGTGCCCCAGGAGGGCAGGAGGAACAGCACTGGAGGAATCTAAGGAACAGCGAGCCCCTTCCGAACCCAAACCGTTCCTTATTTCAGCGCCCCGACTGTACATGCAACCATGTGTGCGAGCGTATAACCGCGATGCGAACACTACGAGACAACCCTTCGGGGCACATCGCGTTCGGCCTAGCGGCCCTGTAGCCTCCCGCGCGACGCCGCCCGCGCGGGGCGTCGGCGTCGGCGCGCCGACCCCCCGCCCCGCGGGGGGGCGTGGGGCGCGGGCCGCGCTTGGGGGAGCGCAGCCTCGTCCAGCCAGCGCTCCGCCTTCGCGGTGTGGCCGGAGTGTGTGCAGGCCTGGCTGTCGCCCGTCGTCTCCCGCCCTGCTCCTCCCTTATCATCCTCATCATCATCCTCATCATCATCATCATCATCAGCAGTAGCAGCAGCAACATCAACATCATCATCATCACCATCAGCGTCGTCATCAGCACTATCATCAGCATCATCATCAGCATCCTCAGACTCATCATCATCAGCAGTACCATGATCATCATCAGCATCATCATCAGCAGCATCAGCATGAGCAGTATCATCGTCATCAGCAGCATCAGCATCCTCATCATCACCACCATCACTATTACCAGCATCATCACCATGATTAGCAGCATCATCCTCATCGTCCTCGCCATCATCATCATCATCAGCATCATCAGCATCATCATCATCATCATCATCACCATCAGCAACAGCGTCAGCCTCAGCATCAGCCTCATAATCATCGTCATCAGCATCAGCATCATCAGCATGAGCACCATCAGCATCATCATCAGCATCATCAGCAGCATCAGCATCGTCATCATCATCAGCAGTATTATCATCAGCAACAGCATAATCATCAGCATCAGCATCCTCATCATCATCATCATCACCATCACTATCACCAGCATCATCACCATCATGATCAGCATCATCATCCTCATCGTCGTCGTCATCATCATCCTCATGATCAGTATCATCATCATATGCATCATCATCAGCAGCATCATCATCAGCCGCATCATCGTCCTCAGCATCGTCATCCTCATCATCAGCGTCATCAGCATCATAATCATCATCATCGTAAGCATCATTCTCATCATCGTCATCAGCATCATTATAATCATCAACCGTTTCATCAACAGTATCATCATCAGCATCAGCAGCATCCTCATCACCAACAGCATCGCTGTCGACATCATCATCATCAGCAGCATCAGCATCATCATAATCATCAGCATCAACAGTATTGGCATAATTGACCGCATCATCACCATCATCAGCGTCATCAACATCACCATCATCAGCATCATCATCATCAGCATCATCGTCAACATCATGTTCATCATCATGCCCCTCGTCTACATCATCGTCGGCGGTTTATCGATCAGCGTCGTCATCGCCAGCACTGTCATAATCATCAGCGTCCTCAGCATGATCATCATCGTCGTCGCCGTGGTCGTCGCACTCATCCTCAGTATCATCATCGTTATCACCACCAGCATCAACAACACAATCAGATGCATCGTCCGTCTCCTCCTCCATCAACTCCTCCTCCACCTCCTCGATCTTCCACTTCACTCATCCCTCCTCGAGGTCCACCTGCTCATCCTTCTCCTCCTCCTTTTCCTCCTTACCCGTGCTCCTCATGTCCCTCAGACCTCATTTCCCACTCTGAGCAAGCATCCCTCCTCGTGCTCGGCCTCATCGTCCTCCGTCCGTCCTGCCCAGCCGCCCTCGTGCTTCTCACTCCGCCCTCCTCCTCCTGCAATGTCTTACCCACCGAGGCCGTGATGCTTACAATCTTCCAACGTGCCCTCCTCGCCGTCCATCCTCCTTCGCCATCGTCCTTCTCGATCGGTCGCCGTCTCCTCCTCCTCCGCATCTTCTTCCTCCTCCTCCTCCTCTTTGTGCCTGCCCCTCCTCGCTTCTCACTCGTCCCCCGTGTCGATCCTCCTCCTCCTCCTCCTCCTCCTCGTCCTCCTCCTCCTCCCACTCCTCCTCCTGCTCCTCATCGTCGTCATTATCCTCCTCGTCCTCCTCCTCCTCCTCGTCCTCCTCCCCCTCCTCGTCCCCTTCCTCGATCCCGTCTTTTCCCACGTAGTCCTCGCCCTCCTCCTCGTCATCCTCCTCCTCCTCCTCCTCCTCCTCCTCCTCCTCCTCCTCCTCCTCCTCCTCCTACTCTTCTCTTGCCTCCGCCCACGCCCCGTCTGCACACACTACCAGTGACACGGCAGAGCACGAGGACACCGCCGCGCGCATCTCGAGACACCCTGCTGTGGGAGCGGTTCGAGGGGAGGCGGCGCTCCGATCAGGCGGAGGGGGGGGGGGCTCTTGAAGGGGATCAGAGGCTCCCGACCCAGTGATCCGACGCCTCGATAAAAATGCAGCATTGCTAAAACACAAAATGATGGGCCGATTTCTCACCATCACTACCATAGGTGGGAGATGGAGGAGGAGGAGGAGGAGGAGGAGAGGAGGAACGAGAGGATTACACAAGGATTACCCCAAATCTGACTCTGTCAGCACGCTATACTGCGGAGGACTTCAATTGAGTGGCCTCCCATCAGACAAACGCTGGAGGACCCAAGCCCCCATCTTGGTGGGCTTCTCTCCTCGAACACATCTGCATTCCTTAGCCAGGTCCCGAAGATGGCCATTTCCCTCCCTCCCCCTGCAGCCACAACTTGTGCACACCCAATATGGGTCATAAAAGGCCATGACATGCGAATGGTGGACGACACGCGTGCCAACGGCCACAAGCACAGGTGCACGTGCAGGCTCGGGGCGGGGGGGGCAGGACACTGGGAACAAAGCCAATTCTGCAACACATTATTGCAAGATGCTTTACTGACACTGCTACGGCAATCAAGACAACTAAAACGAGTTTTAGAATCGGCAAGAGAATGGGAGCTGCCTTGCTGTGCACGGGCGAGGGCGGATGGCCTGGTCCTGCGCTCGACCCTCCGCACCTCGCGCACCGTCGGCGGGCGCTCCTCCGTCTCGAAGGCGGTCAGCGTGGCCCGCGCGATGCGGAGGCGCACAAGACAAAACGTCGAGACTGTCCACTTATAGCACGAGAAGCGAGCGGGCGGGATGGCATGAGAGGCAGCGGCGGCAGCAGCGAGATGGTCGGCCACCTGATTGCCTATCCACGCCAGCATGGGCACTCCTTTAGCCAACGATTCCTGAGGCGAAAGGTGGCTATTCAGAAAATGCACTGAGACTACTGACTCACCCCTCGCCTGGAGCTCGGTTCCAAGGGCTCCCCACAGATCTCCATTCACACTCCAACCTGCGGGTCTCAAGTGTCGACCCCTGTTCCAACCTCGAAATAGGATGTCACTATCTGTCCCAAACTCTACTTCACCCGAAGTGCACCTCAGCACAGAAACTAAACTCATCATTTCAGCTCTATTATTGGACTGACGAGGCCCCGCGAGCGGCGAGCTAGCGCCGCCAACAAGCTCAGGGCTCTCAGGCGGCCCGCGCAGCAAGCACCAGCCCCAGCCGCAGCGCCGGAAGCGGGCGTCAGACGCCTCCTCGCCGCCGCTGCCGTCGCCGCAGGCGAAGTGCCTGTCGCCGCTGGGCGGCAGGCGCCCCTCTCCCACCGCGCCGAAGGTCGACAGCTCCTCGACCGTGTCGCACGGCGGTAGGGTCGTCCACGACCGCGGCGCTATGCCGCGAAGCCACAGCGCAGGGCTGTCTGCATGGCAGCTCTCCGCCTTCGGCTTCAGCCAGTCCGTCCTCTCGAAGTCCTCGCGAGTCGGGCGGCTCGGGCACTCGCCCCAGATGCGGTGGAAGTCATCCCCCGCGGCCCCGCAGCTGCAGCGCCCATTGCCACCACGCTCTTCACCCAGCACCTCGCACTTGCGCGCCGCCGTCCACGTCCCCGCCGTCATAGCCTGCAACAGCGCGTTAGCCATGGCAGGCTTGGCACGTCTCCACTTCTTGAGGGTCTGCTTGGCATTACTCAAGTCTACCCCCTGCTCCAGACCTGCAGCACTATGTCCACCTGCCGCCTTGCCCCAGAGCTTGACTGCTATATCATCTAACACCGCGTCGACCACACCAGCTGGGCCGCGCTTCTCAGCGCCAGGAGCCATGGTCCACTCGTCGCCACTGGGGTCCGTCCACGACGTAGGCGAATGAGGCGTCCACCCTGCCTCCCAAAGCGTCAGCATCAGAGAGGCCATCACGCCCCGTCGCCTGCGCCAGCGGCGGTTCGAGGGAACCTTCAGCAACTGGTTGTAGATCAGCGGCCAAGCTTTCTCCGCCATCCTGCGCACATCATCCCTGTGCGCGTACCGGTCGAACCACGACCTCAGCTGCATCTTGGGGAGCTCCAGCGCTGGGTCCTTCCCCTCCAGAGCCAGGAAGGAGGTCAGGCAGCGCCCCGCCCTCGGCTTCGCCAATCCCGCAGCATGACGGCGGCGCGCCGCCGTGACAGCCGAGGGAGGCTCGCCGTGGGCCCTGGCGCCGTACCCCAGCGAAGGCACCGCCCCCTGGTTCAGCAGCGCCGCCCGTCTCCCCCTGCGCAACTTGCGCAGCTTATTGCCCAAAGCTCCCATCCTGCTGTGGGCCTTCTTGCGCCTGTCCATGTGCGTGGCACGGCGCCTCGCACCCGCGGCAGCTCTGTCGACCCCCAGGTCTCGGCCCTCCTCCGACGCCTGGAACGTGAGCCCTCGCCTCTTCAGCTTGGCCACCATTCGCCTGGTCATCGCAAGGTCCGATGAGATGATCACGCTCTTGCCTGCCAACTTGAGCCCCTCCTGCTGGATGGACCCCCCCCCAAGGCTGTCATCGCCTCAGGGAGGTCCTTTTCCACAGCCAACTTGCTACCATAAAATGAAGTACTCACATCATCAAACCACGCTCGAGGGATACCACGGAACGAAGGTGTGACAATTCTCTCCAGCGCGCGGCACACAACTGCCCTCGCCAAGTTGTTGGCGTGACGGGAGCCCGCCAAGATGGAGCGGTCAGCCAAGCAGGGCTCGCCGTAGGCGCCCTCCAACCGCAGCAGTCTGCCCGCGGCATGCAGCTGCAGCTCGAGCGCCAGCGTGCGGATCGGGAAGTCCCGCCCCTCGCAGGCCTCGGCGACCGTCGGCAGCGACAGCGAGTCGTAGAAGCGCTCGATGTCCGCCAGACCGACTCCTGCCTTCATGCCCAGCGCCGCCGCCGCCTCGCCCTGGAGCTCTCGGGCGAGGGCCTCACGGAGGCAGGACGAGCCCTTGAGCGCCGCATCCCAGTGGCGCGCCGCTCCTGCGACCCACTCCTCAACCTCAGGGCGAGTGAGGAGCTGCCCCGCTCTTGCC